AGAGATGAAAGCCAGTGGATGACCTTGAGCCAATGACCAGGAGACTGTGAGTTCTAGTCCTGCCTTAGAGATGAAAGCCAGTGGTTGACCTTGAGCCAATGACCAGGAGACTGTGAGTTCTAGTCCTGCCTTAGAGATGAAAGCCAGTGGATGACTTGAGCCAATGACCAGGAGACTGGGAGTTCTAGTCCTGCCTTAGAGATGAAAGCCAGTGGTTGACCTTGAGCCAATGACCAGGAGACTGTGAGTTCTAGTCCTGCCTTAGAGATAAAAGCCAGTGGTTGACCTTGAGCCAATGACCAGGAGACTGTGAGTTCTAGTCCTGCCTTAGAGATGAAAGCCAGTGGATGACTTGAGCCAATGACCAGGAGACTGGGAGTTCTAGTCCTGCCTTAGCGATGAAAGCTGGCTGGGTGTCTTTGGGCCAATAATTCTCTCTCAGCCCAACTTACCTCACAGGGTGGTTGTAGTGAGGAAAAACAGGAGGAAGAAGGAGTATTAGATATGTTTACCACCTTGAGTTGTTTATAAAAAAGGCAGGATATAAATAAATTAAAATGACATAAAAATAAGAGATATAACCATTAAATAATGCTGCGAAGCCAGCCTAAGAAAAGTCACCGACTGAAGGAACTAAGGGCCTCTTTAAAATGAAATCTCACTTCCAGATCTTTCTGGGTGCAACTAGAATTGTTCTTCACTAAAAGGGGTGAAGCGGTTCCTGGAATCCCAAGTTGAGTGCCAAAACTGAGATCTACAGTTATGAAACTGCAACAGGCTGTACGGCACAGGTAGTCCTCAACCTACAACCACACATTTCTGCTGCTAAGTGAGGCAGCCATTAAGTGAGTTACACCTCATTTTGCAACCGTTTCTGCCACAACTGTAAGTGAATTGTTGCAGTTGTTAAGGGAATCGTGCAGTCGTTAGGAGAATCTGGTTTCCCCCATTGACTCTGCCTGTGGGAAGGTTACAAATGGTGATCACATAACCCATGGGACACTGCAACATTCATAAGTGTACATGCCAGTTGCCAAGCTCCCAAATCTATCACGTGACCATGGGGATGTTGCAATGGTCCTAAGTGTGAAAACTTGTCATAAATCACTTTTTTTCAGTGCTGTTGTAGCTTCGAACTACAGAATAACAACCTAGAACTAAGAAGAAATTTCCTGACTGTTAGAACTACTTGCCTCAAAAAGTTGTGAATGCTTCAACACTGGACGTTTTTAAGAAGAGATTGGACAACCATTTGTCTAAAATGCTATAGGGTCTTCTAGTTGAGCAGGGGGTTGGACTAGAAGAACTCCAAGGTCCGTTCCGTTATTCTATTCTATTGCAACTGCAACAGAATAACAACAACAACAATAAACTCTGTTTATTCTATTCTATTCTATTCTATTCTATTCTATTCTATTCTATTCTATTCTATTCTATTCCATTCCATTCCATTCCATTCCATTCCATTCCATTCCATTCCACTCCACTCCACTCCACTCTACTCTACTCTATCAGAGTTGGACGGGACCTTGGAGATCTTCTAGTCCAACTCAAACAGGAAACCCTATATCAGTGGTGGCGAACCTATGGCACGCGTGCCAGAGGTGGCACTCAGAGCCCTCTCTGTGGGCACGCGCGCCATGCCCCAGAGTTGGCAACCGTCCCTCTTCAACCAGCCGCCCGCTAACTCACCGAAGTCCCATGTGGCCGGATGTATCCCAGCATGGCTGGTTTCCCTCCCCCCCGTTCCATCCCTCCTGGCCTCACATGCTCTCCTTTTCCTGGGCACGACCCACTGCATCACCTCCTCAGCTGTCGGCCAGCCATCCAGCTCAGAGGCGGCTTCTCTGAACTGCTGGTGGCGGGCTGTGGACACCCAGAGTGCGCCGGTCGAGGGACTAGCAGGCTGTGGCTGCTGTTGGACACTGTCGGCCCCCATGTGCTCGCTGGCCTCTGTGTGTGGGGGGGGCTGATGGTGTCAGGCAGCAGCCGCCCTGGCCCCTGCCTCGCCTTGTCCTGCGACAATGGCACCCCCACCCTGCCTCGCCTCACCCCACAGGACAAGCTTCCTGTCCACCGTGCCACCTGCCAGAGACCCCGTGGATCTCCCCCAGCCCTGCCCAGTCCCCACAAGCGTACCTCCCAACAAGCAACATCAAGATGACCACGCCTACCTTGGCCACACCCACCCAGTCTGCCATGACCACGCCCATGCCCACCCAGTGGGCCATGCCCACCTGGCACCCGGCAATACATAAGTGGGTTTTGGGTTGCAGTTTGGGCACTCAGTCTCTAAAAGGTTCGCCACCACAGCCCTATATCATTCCGTATAAATGGTTGTCCAATCTCTTCTTAAAAACCTCCAGTGTTGGAGCACCCACAACTTCTGAAGGCACATCATTCCACTGATTGTTTATTTACGGTTTATTGTTCTAAACGAATGCTTATAGGTCAATGACTACCTATAGTTTTTGTGATGCTCCAGCTGCAGAAGCAGAGAGGCATTACAGGTTTCCTGGAAATATTAATGTGCAGATGTACTGGACTTTCTACTCCCAGAATTCCCCAGTGGCGTAGACAAAAGCCTACATCAACAACATACTCAGAGGATGCCCAGTAAGAGAATGCTAGCAATATTCACACGGTTAGAATAAGCTGGGGTTTCCTCTCTAATCAGACGTCAAACCCCTTCCTTTTCTCTTTTCCCATCGCCTTCCAGCTTTTATTAAAGCAAAGCACCGCGCTTAAGCTTCCTAGGACCCAAACTACAGCAAGGATTTGAGAGAAAGCCTCTTATGGGCAACAGGAATTAATCACATTTGGTTCTTACCTTCCCATCAGCCCAGAATCGAGCGGCAGGGCTGCAGGTGAGGTGGGGGATTGTAGGAGGACACGCACACACAAGCACACACACTCGGTTCATGTACATTTCTAACTGCGGAATATGCTTAAGTAACAGAGAGATCCCTCTGTAGATTCTTTGGGTAACTCTTTCCAATCCACATTAAGGCCATAGCCAAAAAAAAAAAAAGGCAGAGAAAGAGACTATTTTACCAAAAAAAAAAACAAACCTGGGTGGATGGGGGGAACAGATGC